TGAGATTCTTCTTGTTGTGATACTCATGTGTGGGTAAGAGAGTGTGTGGTTCTAAAAACCAAATAATACCCAAACCGGCGATGGTGGGGTGGGGAATTCTGGGAGTTGGTCCTCACATCTTCAAGTCCCCAAGGTTGAGCAACACTGGCTTAGCTGCTGTGCAAACTTAGTCCGAATCACCCACTCTTTCAAGACAGACTTTTCCAAACATTCTGCTTTACTTTCAGGGAAGTGTTGTGACCACTCAGCCATCCTTGATCCCACTGCCGAGTAAGTATATAAAATTACATCACTATCCCAATTCCTCCAATAAAAAATCCTCCCTTATGTCATGGTGGGATGTGGAACCAGACAGAACTGTGATCCAAGTCCTGTTAAGCAAGGAATTCCCTCTTCACCTTCACACACAAGCAAAAAATACTTCCCTGGGGGCTCCTCTTACGTAATAACCATGTATCCATCGTTCAAAACCCAAGACAAACCAGGAATATTCTACATACCCCATTCGTGAATTGATTAATCAACTACACCCCTAAGAAGCTGCTTTAATTTGGTGACAGCTCCAAAGTTTTTGCACTTTGATATTCTCTGTATATTCCTGCTTCACCTTCCCACCTCCATTATCCACTGATAATCCATTTCTCCGTGGCCCAAAGGTTCCCCTACCGTGTCTGGTTATTATGGAGTTCGAAGATCCTTGATGACAGATATGGATTTACAAAACAGCAAGGAGATCTCCAGCGAAGTCTACACTTCTTCCCTGCTACCCAAGTCATTGGCTTATGAATCACCAGCAACTCAGGGATATTCTTTGTCTCTGGATACCCATTTAATTGATCAGTATGTGGACCATCGGGCTGGATCCATCCCTTCTGGAGTCTCCACTCTCCTTGGCAACTCCCCGCTGACTTCTGTCACATCATCCTTTCCAAGTGATTCTGCTCATTTTTTTAGTGTAAGTAGAAGAAAAGTGGGGTTCCATGGAGAAGGGCCTTGATTTATCATTTATTTTTGAATGCACAGCATAGCCCACCTTTCAGTTTATACGAACACTTGAGCTCATGATATTTTCAAAAAGTCCATTGCAGAGTTGAGGACCTGATGGCTCTCCCTGTGTTGTAGCACTACAATTCCCATTATCTGTGACCACCGAACAGGGGGGTTGGGGCAGATGAACAACTCCTATAAACATTGGTAGCCCATCAATAGTTGGAGTTTAAAAAATTTCCCCACATCTGTCTTAGGAGATTTAAGTAATTATGCTTCCCACACTGGCCCCAGAGATGCTTCTGGGGATCCTATGACCACGGTGACGGAAAGCCCTGAAGTTGTTGGGTTGTGCTGAATTTTGTATAGTACCACGAAGTGACATTGTGTTTGGACTCTCAGATCATGCTAAATCATACTGTGCTTTAGTTTTGGCTTAGAATTTAGTGAGCCAACCAATTCTAATCATCCTCTCAACTCAGTCTATGGGCCTTTCCCCATGGCTGATCTGAAGTTCCCTACTCAATTCTCAAGTGGGCAGAACAAAATCCTGGCTTGACATTTGCTCTGCAATGCTGATTCCTGTCCTGCCTTTATTGCCTGTTTCAAGTTGTTATAGTCCCATGACTTCCCTCCAAGATGATGGATCACAAAGACGACCCAATTTTACACATCTTGAGGCTGCCCTTGGATGGTGTTAGGGAAGGGGGAAGGACCACTTTAACATCAGTCCAGCTATCAATGATTCAAGGCTGTCTCACTCCTAGGATGGAGATGAGAGTCCACCGTGTCATGGGACCCAGCAGGAAAACGATGCTCCCAGGGCGCATCTGTGCTGCAGTTAGTGCAAGGGGGAAAGGCCCACTGTTGTGTAAATTGTGCATAATTTCATACCGGAGGGCAGGCAGCACACAAACTCAGCTACCTGCTAACCAGTGCTAACATCCAACCTGAATTGTGGCCCTGTCCATTGAAAAGAATGAAGTTGTTGGACAGCAGAGCAAAGAGAAAGTCAGATATTGTGAACGTGGGGCAGATACATCTGGGGAAAGGACCTGTTCAGGTTGGCTCATGCTGAAAAAAAAAAAGCAGTTATTGATCCACTACTCTACAGGGTGGATAGCAACATTGCCTGTGCTTTTCAAAGCACATTATCCTTATTGACCTATTGATTAGAAGCTCATGTTTTTAACAATTAGAATGCATTCCAAGACGGTTGATCTCGAGGTGTTAAATTCTGCTCCCAAGGCCAGATTCTGTGCTTGCAAAGGTTGCATCGCAGAATTTCAGGGCACATGCATCCTACTGGCTGTGGTTCATCTCTTGACGTTTCAAAGGCTTCCCAAAATAACATGAGTGGCAATCTTGATGTGCTCCTTATGCAGGCAAATTGAAACTATCTGGGAGACACGTTATGCCTCCTCTCTGTGGCCTGCACTGATAATTCTGCAGGGAAGATTGTTCCCCTTCAACACTTTTGGAACTTTAAATGCACCCCTTTCTTTCTCCAACAGAGAGACTCCTGGGAACAATCTGTGCCAGACGGCCTTGGTCAGTTGGAAGCATGTCCAGAATCTCTCCAAGTAGCTCCAGCCACCAGCTGCCTTTCAGCTCATGAGCCGGGAACAGCTTCCCAGTGTAGAAACTCCCACTGGAGTTCACCCATCTCTGGAACTCAGTCCTACTCCTTCCACCCTCTTGAAGATATCCACTACCCAGCTGCTTTCTCTGGCTCTTCAAACTACCCCTTCTCCTCATTCATGGCTGCAGTGGCCAATGATCTCCCTGTGCCCAAGATGCTCCCAGTGTCTTCTGAAGAACCTTCAGATGCAGCCTCTCTCCAAGATAGCAGCCCTTTCTGGCCCAAGGAAGACACAAGTCCTCTCTGGGGGTCCTACGAAGAACGAAGGACTTACTGAGCAGAAGGGACAGCCAGCCAAGACTTCTATGGCTTCCTATTTAAGTCACTGCTGAAAATGTTAAAGTTGGAAAGGGGCTGACCACCATTAGTTGAGACTTCCTTGTAACCACGCCCATATCACCCCAACACTAACAATCAAAAGTATGTTACGGCAAAGTTGCAGAGTGTATGGTCTACCATGACTCATGGAAAGCATGTGCTTCGCTTGTAGACGTTGCCAGTGGATCCCATGGGAGGCATCAGGAAAGAGCTCCTCCCAGCTAGCAGAAATAGCGTGGGGCTAAATGGACCAAAAAGTTGGGTTCACCTGTTACACTTAGCCACAGTCTGGTTTGCTGAAGCATGTTGAGAAACCCACTCACTGCACTTTGTAAATATATTTCCCAGCCCTGCCATTCTCTGACCATTCCCTATGTGATCATTCTCTGCATGATCTGCCATTCTCTATATGATCAGAACAAACTGTTCTTCTCCTCCAACAAGACTGCAAGGCAAGTGACAAAAGCCCATTTATTTGCACACGTTTTGAATTCTACCAAAGGGGAATTTATGATGTACGTCTCTAAAATGGCCCTTAAAGAACGGAGCCGCATCAAGAAAGCAACCAAGTCTCCTTTAAATCCTGCACAGCTACCGCTTAAATGGGTGTGCATACTCCGAACAGAGTGATCCTCGCACAAACTTAGAAAAAAGTTGAACAGATAGCACCTTATAGAAGATAACAAACACTAAAATCTAGTGAGCTAAAATTCAAAGAATTACTCGGTGCAGACCTATTCCTGCATCACATTTTGAGATGGTGATATTTGGTCCTTCTCAACTTTATTACTCTTTAATTCCTATCATCATCGTCATCATCCTCATCTGTAACTGATGGGAAAACAGCAGTCAGCCCATAACATCCGCAGAGGGTTTCTATACAATACAGTATAAGCCCCCCATAGGGATTCCCAACACTGTATGTTTTCATGGGTGTTTTGGCAGCCAACAATGCCTCCTTTTCCAAAACAAGGGGATGCAGGACATCTTCAAAACACACACTATAAACAGAGCAATAGCTACAGAAAAAAGGTTCTGACGAGGCCACCAGATGGAGCTGCGCATAGTGTACAGAAACACCCCCCCACACACACACAGCTTGCTTTCAGCTATGTGCTACCCGCAGCATCTGTTCCTTCCTGCCAGAGCCAACCACTGGCACAGCAGGAACCATTTCCTCTTTGTAATCATTGGATCCCAACCCTCAAAGAGAACTCATGGCTCCCTAGTTTGATTCTCAGGCAATTGTGTGTGTATGCTACTGACGTTTCCAGCCCAAATCCAACCCCATGTATTGAAATGTGAACCTCCTGTTCCAGCAGAACACACCCAAACATCTTCTGCAGAAATGTGATACGAAGGGTAGCCTCCTTAAGTAGGTTGCTGCCCAGAGCAACAGAGGAATCTGGATCTTTCTGCTTGCCAGACTGTGTTTTGATTTTGGCTTACTGTGTTTTGTGAACTTTCCTCACCAAACCATGGTTAGTATAATGGATGAACCTGGAATCTTATCCCCTTGTAAAGACCCCAGTCTGGGGACATGAGGGAAAGGATCAACTCTGTGCTCCAACATAATTCCTTCACTTAAATTGCTCCCAACAGTAAAGATGGTATTTTTCCCTATTCCCCTTAACTAAAAGCACTTTTTAAAAATCAAACTAGCATAAAGCTATAATCTGCTCCAACGCTTTGCCGCAAAGGCTAGACTTCTTTAACCTGATGCCTTACAAATGTGGGGGATAGCAGCTCCTGCAGTTCCCACTACCAAACATTTCTGGCAATTATGGTCCAGCACTTCTCAAGGGCTCCCCAATAGCCAAGATTGGGTATATCTTGAAGCCAATCCTGCCTTCAGTCTTAAGAGACTAATAACCACTGAATCCATCAGGGCTTGACCTAAGGGCCACCACCAACCTGAGTGCCAAAGACAGTATTCAGGCTCCACCTGTCAGGCCAATTCAAAGAACAACAGGAAAACAGTCCATCCGAGTTCAGTTCTTTTATTGCTTACATAGAGACAATCTTGCCAGACTAAATCTGTACTACTCTAACCTAGTGGATATACCCTGGGAGATTCTAGGGAGTAGCTATCCTAAATCTCTTCCCATGCTCCTGGTCCGGACTGTGTTGTCTCTTGTCTCACCTCCACTTCCTGGAATGTGCTCCCTCCTTCCTGAGAACCTGCTGCATTCCTGTAGTCCATCACACCACTGTTTCTCTTCCATGTGGTCAATACTGGCCTGGTAATCCCCCCCCCAAGAGAGTTGTCACTCCAACGTCTAGAAAAGATGCTATGCCAGCTGAACCTCTGCAGGGCAGCCAAGCTGAGCCCAAGAAGTGGAAGGCGCGGTGGAGTTCCTGCCAGCAGGGCACTATTTTCTCCACAACCTGTCCAGATGTTCAGTGTCTCAAAAGGGAATGATGATATGGGGTGCCATGGGATCCCAGTTGATTTTGCAGCGGCCTAAAACATTGTAGGATAGCTCCCACAAGGAGGAAAATCCTCAGCCAGGTTGGCCCCCAGAATGAGAGTGTTGTATTCTCACGTCTGGCCATCAGGTGGCAGTGTTTGCTAAAAGATCCTTTCTTCTGGCCTGTGGGATACCTTGCAAAGGACCCCCTCCAGTTGAATAGAAGCAGTGGACCTTCTCTGGAGGTATTGCCAAATGCCCCCACTTGAGCTGGGTGGTGCATGTTTTATGCCACCTTCCAGAATGCCCTGCAGAGGCTCCATGGTGCCTTGAAAAGTCACTCCCAGCCAGACAAACTGGACGTTTGCAGGATTCCTGGTGATCAGAACTGCAAAAAAACCTGGGCTGAATTCCAAGCACCTTCACAACCAGTTTTCCCATGTGATTCTGGAACACCTTCATGAAGTCCTCTGAGGAGCACTTCTGAAAGGAGCTGTTCTGTCTCACAGATGCTTGCTTGGACACATTCATTGTGCATGCCAGTGAAAATGTTTCTACAGGTCAACATAATCTATTTCACCTAAGACTGTGGTGCATCTGGGGAGCAGGGCATTTTGAACCAGTCCGATCAGTGGACAAAGGAGCTACTTGTTCCAGGATCACATCAGCCCTTCCTGGTAGGCCGTCCAAACCAGTTACTTTGGTAGAAAAAAATGGAGAGTCCATTCTCCCCATTTAGCAGAATGAAAGAATGGACTGGGGATCTATTGTGGACTGCCTAACTTTCAACTGCATTGTCTGGAACACTCCCTTGTTTAATGTATCAATATACGGAAGTGTAGGAATAGAGTAAGGAGTTTTGTCATGAGCAAATAAAAATGTGAAATACAGACTCTTGCTTTATTCCAGAAGTCGTAGGCCTTATTCCAGCCAAGACAGACAGACAGACAAGGAAGGAAGGAAGGAAGGAAGGAAGGAAGGAAGGAAGGAAGGAAGGAAGGAAGGAAGGAAGGAAGGAAGGAA